ACAGAAGCCACCTGATCCCTTCCCAAGGAATAGGACATCTTTGGTTTTAAATAGGTAAAGATCATAGTGCTGTAGAAGATGGTGACTCCCAGGAGATGGGAGGCACAGGTGGAGAAGGCTTTTCTTTCTTTCCAGCAGTGGAATTAATTTTCAGGATAGTGGAGATGATGGATACACAGGATTCAGATGTGGTGACAAGGGACACCCCTACAGTGGATCCAGGAAAAGTGAATGTTGTGACTTCAACATCATAAGTGTCACTGCAGCACAGGGCTAAAATACTGGATGAGTCACAGAAAAAGTGATGGATGATATTAGAGTTGAGGAAATGAAGAATTCTCATGCAAACTGGACTAACAGTGAAATCTATAAACCCAAACATATAAGAGCCAGCGAGCAGGGCACTGCACAGTCATGTGGACATAATGGCTGGATAGTGCAGGGGGCTGCAGATAGCTAAATAGCTATTACAGGCCATGAAGGAGAGAAACAAACACTCTGTGCCATCCAAGAAGACAAAAATGTACATCTGGGTGAAGCATCCCAGGGAGGAGATGCTTTTAGTGGAAGTCAGTAAGCTCTGTAAGGTTTTAGAGGTGATGTCATTTGAGTAGATGGGGTCCAGAAATGGCAGGTGAATGAGAAAAAAGTACATGGGTGTGTGAAGCTGGGGATCCAGGTGAATGATCGGTATCATCCCCACATTCCCCAGCACTGTGATCAGGTAAATCAGGAGAAAGAGCATGGAGAGGACCAGCTGTGTCTCTGCAGAGTCCATCAGCCCCATGAGGATGAAATCAGGCACAGTGGTCAAGTTCCATCTACCTATGGTGATTTGCTGCACTTCTCTGTTGAATAACATTTTTTAATAATTATCTTGTCCCCCAAAAATACTTTTATTTATGTGAATTGCTCAGTATTTTTCGTGGCTTTCCAAGAAATTAATGAAAATCATTGTGAAGAAGAGTGAAAAAATACAATCCCCATGTATAGATATAGATATGTAATGCCATTTGTTTCTGATACATTAAACGGATACATTCTGTTTTTAGCATGAAATGATGCTATTCTAAACTTTCTGTTATTAACACATTCAATTCTCAGGAAAATATTATACTGTAAGGACCCTTATCCACTTCCTTAAGTTTAGAAAAAGAGCAGAGATTGCTTATGTAAAAAAAGGCAGGTACATATTGCCATTGATTCTACCTAGACATTTTTACTTCTGATAACAGACTTAGAATGCTGTGTTCCTGATCAGGACTTGATTTACCAATCCTGAATGAGGATTCATAATTGACTATGCTAAAAACCATTTTTAGTGTCTTATTCATTGTCCTTTTGTTCTCAATGACTTATTATACTAATTATAACAATTTCTGTCTGGGGACTTAGGGCATTCACATTAATATTAAATTCCTGAACATATAGTAACTGAGACAAAAAAAATCAATCTTTAAAACTTTTGGATTTTTAAAAATAGGCTGCTTCTCCTGCTTCCTCTGGCTGAGAGCAGAAATACTCTTCTTGTCCCCATTCAAATGACGGCACAGAGAATGAATGCTCAGTCTCAGAAATATCCTGACTGCCTGAGAAGTACATTCAGATACCATCCTATGAGGTCAAGGTCTGCTGTAACTTGGAAAAGGGAGGGAGGGAGCTTGGAGTCACCTGGACATAAAAGACCTGGAAGAAATTAACACAGGGAGACAGATTTGTGGGGAGAAGTGGATACTCTCTCTCTCTCTCTGCTGTGGAGTAAATACACCCTTTTCTTTCCATCAAAATAACTTTCCCCCATCTTTTTTGAGGCAGCCAGAGGCAGGTTGGACCTTCAACTCTGGTAACAATGTATTTTTTAACTTGCTCATTCAAAATGAATTTTCTTGACAACATATTTTCATAATATGTACATTGCTTATATACTTTAACTTCTAAATCTCTATATTCCTTTTACTGAAAATCTTAGCATTACTTATGATGACATACAAATGATGTATACCTACATTTTTTTTTAACAAAATCCCTTTTATTTTTTCTGTTATAATCCCATGTAGTTCCCAGGATGATACTTACTGTGCACAAAAGTTGCTGAAAAAACTGTTTTCCAATTTTGTCTGTTTAAAAATTTGTCAAGCACAAAGTATTCTCAGAAATAATACAGGAAAACATATAGTGAGTTGGAAATTATTGTAATCTGCTTGTTTTTCTAGGGGTAACTTAACTTTATGCTTTTCTGTATTTATATTTTTATTGTAAGGAGAACAGTTTCACCCTAGAAATTTTGCTCAAGTCTTGATTCAATGGAAAGTTCACCCTGAAGTTTCCTCTGAAAAGAATCTCAGCAGGACCTGTGAATGGAAACAGAGCAGTGTGTGCCTCTCCTTCCAATCAGCCTCATATACTGCATATTCAGAACAATGCAGCCTTTGGTCATCCTGGGGAGGAATTTCCAGGGAAGATTTGCTGGTCCAAATTCTAAAACAAAAGTTCAAGGAATTAATGAACACAAGATTTTGTCTTTTCCCTTAGAAGTCCCACATACAGAACACAAACAGTTCATCTTCTCATGTCACGCTCCAAGTTCCTATTGAACTTCATTCACTTACTTTTTAAATTGACACATAGTCATACAAACTTGCCAGAAATAATCTTTACATTTGAGTGATTAGTCAGAATTTTTCAACTAGGAGGTTAGAGAATAAATTTCCTGAATCATACTTTCTTTACAATTGACACTTTGATGGATGGAATAATAAAATTTTTGTCCTGG